AACCCCCCCATCCATACCAAGGGGATGTCACAGAGGGGCTCCAGCTTCCGAAATCCATCACCGCACTTCCAGAGCTTCACACTGGTATTGTGGGAGCCTGGGGCAGAGAGAGGAGACTGCTATGCATCCCTACCCAGTGAAGGGAGCAGGACTCCCAGCCCTGCACCCCCAGACCCCTGCTTCAAAGCAGCTGCCACACACCTGTAGCCAGGAGGTCACTGTTGCGCAGGGCAGCCACCGCTGAGATCCAGTATGGCTGCTGCAAGCCCTGAGCGTCCTGCATGCCATGTGCCTGCTGGGCCAGTGCCAGTGGCTTCTTCTTCGTCAGCCCCCACAGGGCTACGGACCTGCCGGGGAGAGAAGGGGTGAGGGGGCTGAGGGGGGCACCACCTGCCCACTCCAGGCACCATCCTGGCCCTGCACTCACCCATCATCAGAGCCTGATGCCATGTGCTCCTCGTTGATGAGCTGGATACAGTCGATGGAGCCCCTATGAAGAGAAGGGACAACTGCCATCACTTATCAGCGTGCTTTAGGATCCTATTTAGGAGACGAGGGCTCACCGGGGCATCAGCATCCCCAGGGGATCGGCAGGGTGGGCTTGGCACCTGCACACCACAGCCCTAGCTGGACCCATCTGCCCGCAGCCCCCCTCTCCCACCCCAGACCTACTGGTGCCCACAAAACACGAGCTGCGACTCCTCGGGGATCTTCCAGAGCCGCACGGTGCCGTCGCGCCCCCCTGCCGTCACGCAGCACTCCCGGCTCAGGCTGTCCAGCCCCATGATGCCGTCCTGGTGCCCAAACCTGGAGGAGGAAATGGCAAAGAGCTGCAGCAAACACGGCCCTCTGCCGCCCCGCCTCACCTGGGGCTGCCGGCGCATCCTGTGGCAGCAGGGTCAGTGGAGTTCCCCTTCCTGGGTCTCACAGGGTCTCCACATATGCGTTCTCTGCCACGTTCCAGACTTTGACGCAGCGGTCATGGGAGGCACTGTACAGCTGGTGTGTGCCCTTCCGGAAGGACAGACCCTGCAGACAGATGGACAGACATGGGCACAGCAGGGAGGGGTACTGGGGAGGACGCGGCTGCCTGGCCCCACAGGCATCACGGCTGATTCCCCTGACTCACCGAGACGGCGTCGCGGTGTCCAGTGAAGATGTGTAGTCGCTTGCAGGTGGTTGTGTCCCAAATCATGATCAGCTTGTTCCTGTCTCCCGTGGCCTAGCAGACAGCAGGGGATGCCCAAGACCTGCCCCTCGCAGACCCACATCCCACCCCGGCCTCCACTCCCACCCCACATGCTCTCAGGGACCCATTCTTGACTCCAGTGGGGACAGGGGCTGCTTTAACCTAACAAAGTGCATCCAGGCATGAGACATTGCCCTCCAGGAGAAGATGCACTCCCCACGGCCACCACTTCACCCCATGCAGCAGCACCAGCCCCCTCTCCCCATACCAGGTACTTGCCGTCCGAGGAGATGGCCATGCAGAGGACGTGGGACGCGTGCCCCATGTGCCGCTCCTCGGTGCCCTTCTTCCCCCCGGGCACCACGCACAGCCTCTTCCCACTCTCCACCTCCCCTGCGAGAAAGGCATCGCCATCACCCCTGGGAACCTCCCATCACCCCAGAAAGTGCTAATGAGCCTCCCACAAAGCACAAAATGACACACGTGCATGTCCCCAGTGGGGCCAAGGGCCAAGCCACTTCCATGGACACCCGCAGGTCCTGCTGCTGCAGAGTCCCCATGGAGTTCAAGGCTGGGGGAACAGCCAGTCACGGCCCTGAGGGAATACTTGCATTTGATAACGGAGCCGTCCTTAGAAGCGGAAAAGATGAACCTGTCATCTGGAGAGATGACCAGGCAGGTCACAGGCAACTGGTGGCCCCGAAGCACACGGATGCTGGCCGGATCTGGAGGCTGCACCTGCAGGGAGAATGGGACGTGAGCTGGGCTGCCCCAGTCCCTTTCCCAGGTACAGGAGTACCTAAGCACAGCACCCTCCC